GGTCACAGTTTACATCTGGCTTCTCTGTATGGGAGAACTCATTTGAGTTCTGGATGCAAGCAGCCCTCCCCATTTTCAGAAGCTGGCACCTTGCAGGGTTAATTCTCTTGAATCAGACTAAATGCTGTTTGGGGGAAGACAGGAGTTTTGGTATGGACCATTGGTCATTACCTGCAGTTTTTGTCAAAGTTAATTTTGGAAATGTTTCTGTAATCTACACGTTAAGAAGTTTTCTTCCCTGTGGTCCTGCTTTGCCTGCTGCAACACGGACTCTTAAAACAAAACGTGCCTACTGGTGCTATGTTAAAGAAAGAAAATTGTAACAAAGTGGTATTCCAGCTCATAAATCACTGCTGGGTGATCCCATTCCTTCTCTAGGATTTAATTGTTTGTTTCGTACTTCAGTATTTAAAATCCTTCTACCACCTGTTGTGTATGGGAAGGAATAAGAGTATAAAAATAACATCAGAAAAGAGAAAGCAAAGAGAAATCAAACAGAGTCTGCCCAGTTTTTGGTTTATTTTTTTGCATTGATATAATGTTGCTGCTGTTTGGAGCGAAAGGTCTGAGTTTGAGGAAATGTGTAAAATACAAATAATAGCAAACCTGTGATATATATAAAAATATAAGCACATGAGAGAGTTTCGTTAAACAGTGTTTTGCTAGGCTTTCAGCACTTCCTGCGTGATTTGCGAACCATTCATTGTAGTCCAGTACTGTGGTCACTCAGACGTGAAATTCAGTAGGTTCTGTATTTTGATTTAGAAAATGAAAGTATTCAGCAAAGCAGCATACAAATGTGCAATTGGAATAGTAATTATTTTTTTAAAAAAACAGGTTTTGTTAGGCCAATAAATATGTTGTATTTTGATTTAGAAAACGAAAGTATTCGGCAAAGCAGCATACAAATGTACAATTGGAATAGTAATTGTTTTTTTAAATAAAACAGGTTTTGTTAGGCCAATAAATATGTAAAGTTATTTTGTAGCTATAAGTGTCCTTTATTGTGAACTTCTCAACTCAACTTTCCTTTTCTTTTTTGAGACATTGGAGGAGCACGAGGCAGAGACAGGTATGAAGTCTAAAGAGGCCAGAAAGTATATTTTCAACAGTTTGGATGATATAGTGCATGTGAGTATTAAAGCATTCTTCCTTTGCAAAAGGAATGTGTGATTTTAAAACTTTTTACTAGTTTGAAATAAACACCTTTCAAAATATAATTTTATTGTATATCAGTCATATCCATTCTTCCTTGCACATGTTGCTCTGTCTAGCTATGTCAGTCCTTTGTCATTGCTAGTGTTAAACAATGGTACTTGTCCTTGTGGTGGGAGAACCCTTTAATTTTGTGTATAATGTGTACTTTCTCTTCTACTTTATCTGCCATTGTGGGTAAAAAAAGAACCTGTGCGGATCCTGCTCTCTTGACTATATAATTTCTGGTATAATGCTGCTATTTGCACAATATAAGATTACTTCTGTAGTTTAAGTTAGACCATATAAAGATCTTTATCCTGAATCTTACTTTTAAAATTCCAAGTCCTAGAGTGGAATAAAGCCTTCAGGGGTTTTTGGCTGGGGAGGGTGCAAGGGGAGTGATGTGTGTCACCAGTTCCAAGCCATCTGTCCTGGGAGAAGCTAGCAAGTTCACCATGCACCACATGATAAAATCAGGGAATATTAGTAATTTATAGTGGAAAGCAATAACAGGAAGGGTTAAACCAATGCGCGTGTCTTCTGTCTGACTGTTTTGTCTAATGCTAGGTGAACATGGTGATGGATTTGGAAGGAAGTGACCTGTTGGCAGAGAAGGCTGATAGGAGGGAGTTCGTCAGTCTGTTGAAGAAAATGTTGCTGATTGACGCTGATTTAAGAATCACTCCAGCTGAGACTCTGAACCATTCTTTTGTTACCATGAAGCACCTCCTCGATTTTCCTCATAGCAACCAGTATGTAACACAAAAATTATTTTTTTTAGTACCCACTGTAGTGATTCATATGTATAAGTGTTGTTTCCTCTGCAATCAGAGAGAAAAATCGTCGTTTTTGTAACGTCTTGGAGAATTCTTTCAAGTGCTTGCAATATTAGATACATCTACTTGGTTAAGGAACCTGTTTGAATAACTTTTGGTTTTTTTCTGAAAAGTAACGTTTAGGGCAATACATTTTTAAGGTATCATTTATATGCCTCATTGATAAAATTCCAACACTGCAGAAACTTGGCCTTGATTTCTAGAATTATGAAGAGCCTTACTTGCTGTCGGTAACAGAGCTGGGGTGGGTATTTCCTCTTGAGATGAGCATCTCAGATACCTTCTTTTGTACATTGGTTAATATGAGATATACTGAAAGTTTTTTTGTGGTTCTGGAATTGTGTATTTCACTGTGGGTTTCCTAAAGGACAATCATTTCGGTGAAAGAAAGAGCTTTCCATCCGTTTAGTTTACGATCTGTCCTGCTTGTATGCAGCTGTTAGAAAATTATGTTAGATGCAAGGAGCAGGAAATACCAGTTTTTTTTTTTTTTCTCTATTTTTAAATATGCATTTCAAAAACCTGATGTGAACATAGTAATAGCAGTATTCCTTTTTTCTGTATAAGATGCCATTCTGTGAACTGGGAACTGTGGGCTTCAAATGTTGGGGTTTTTTTTTTTTCCTTTTCTTGTTCTGTGGAACTGTTTTATACATTTAACAACAAGAAATTCTAATTAAAGCATCTGATTTTTCTGATTTTAATAGAGTGAAGTCCTGTTTTCATATCATGGATGTTTGCAAATGCAGATCAAATTTGTATGACTTAAGTAATCGCAATAAAACATCACTTATGAGACCAGTTGCCTCAGGCAGTGCAGCTAATCTGACTGCGAACTTTACCAAAATTGCTCCAGTAAGAAGTCAGGTAAAACCTTTCTCTTCCTTTCTTCCTTTCTTCCTTTCTTTCTTCCTTTCTTCCTTCCTTTCTTTCTTCCTTTCTTCCTTTTAATTTTTTTTTTAAATTATAAATTTAGTTAATGCAGTTTCTCTAATTAATTTCATAGTTGAAAAAAGTTCAAGTGACAGAATCTTCTGTCTCATTTCTGTCTCTCATTTTTTCCGAGTGTTTTCTTAAATAAACAAACAAACAAACAAACCATTTAGAATTCAGTATGTTTCAAAATTGAGTTCCGAACTGGAATGGCTGTGGCGAAGCAGCGCTGTATTGCAGTGCCCTCCAGTGGCCAAACGGGACTGCTTCCTCTGAAATGCGTTGGAATTTTTATAAGCTGTTTTAGTTGTTTATCATATAAGCTGGTGGGACAGGCGTGTGAGAGATTCAGATTCTCAGTTATAATGTTGCCTGTGTTCCATCTGTTCCCACAGGCAGTAACTGCATCTGCCCATTCCGTTGTGCACCAAGGGATACCACTGCAGGCAGGAACTGCTCAGTTTGGTTGCGGCGATGTTTTCCAACAGGCGTTGATTATATGTCCTCCAACTATTCAAGGTATGTTTAACTGTACTTGTTACTGCTCCTGAAATATGAGCATTACTGTCTGTTATCAGTATTTGAGTTTTCTGTTATATCCACTTAAGCTATGTATTTAAAAGAACTTGTGTCATAAAAAAACCAGCATGTGTGTCAGATCCAGAGACATTGCACCTTTCTGAAAGAAATAGCAAATCAGCATCTGCAGAAAATCCAGAGCCCACCTTCGGGTGCCACATGCACACACATAAGTATGTGTATGTATACATACATATCTATCTTGGGTAAAAGAGAGAGACACAATGTAGAAGCTGAAGAAAGAAAGGAGGGTATTCTGAAATAAAATTTGAGAGGAAACAAGAAAGGTGAGGGGGATATCAGTGTTGTGGTGGGTTCTTTGGTGGTGTTTTTTGTGTGTTTTCTTTTTTTGGTGGGCTGTCTATGTTTGGGGTTTTTTTGTTTGTTGGTTTGGTTGTGGTTTGCTTGAGGTTTTTGTTTGTTTGGGTTTATTTTGGATTTTTTGTTTGTTTGTTTTTGTTTTGTGGTGTTTTTTTTGTTTTGGTTTGGTTTTTTTCCCAACTACATCCCTAGGGTATACAAGGGATAAAGATAAGAAAATAACAGTTCTTGTGATAACTGTCTGGATAATAAACTTGGGGTTTTTTATTGGACTTCCAAGTGAATGTTTAAGAAGACATCTGGAAACTTGAGGCTTCATTTATGGATGCAGCTGCTTTATGTAAACAGTGTCACATTTATTGTCCTGTGCTTATAATGCTAGATAGAACTGCTGCAGCTTTCTGATGGCTGAAAAACACATAGATAAATCTTTGAGAATGTTGATTGCATCGTGCCATGAAGAGGAAAGGGCAGCTTGGCTGAACTCTCCTGTATTACAAAGGATAAGATTGTTTTAATCATACGGTTTTGTATTTATGGAAAGAAATAATTGTCTGAGGGTTCAGTTATCACAAACGTTTGGAAGACTGGGAGGTGGAAATGCCAGCACAGAAGTATTTCTGCAGTGTAAAAAACACCCCAATAAGCATATTCATCTCTAGAAGGACACACGGTAATGCAGGTGGCCTCTGCAAATGAAGGTCTTTTTTTTTTTTTTTTTTTTTTTCCTGGAGGAGTCCTTAAAACCTCTTTCAGATCTCAGAACATATCAAGCAAAACTTGGTTTTTCTGTTTATAGTGGGCTGATCAGAGAGGAGCTGATGAAAACCAGCCTTTCTTATCCTAGTAATAGTCATTTATGGAGAGGGACAGGTGGCTTATATTGTTTGCTTATTAAGTTAGCTTGATTATAGTCTTCATTTCCAAAGATGCAATTTATCTGTCTTGGTGATGGTTCAGCTTTATGTTGAGATCAGATCTTGAAATGATGGAGTTCATAGGAAGCAGATTTCTTTAAGAATGACTTTTCTTTAAGATTTATTTAAGAATGACTTTCAAACTACTCCTTAGTTCTGCAGTTTCTAGAAATCATGCTAGATTCACTCTGAAAAAAAACCCCAAACACTTTTAACCTAAACTTAGAGCCCAGGACGTCTTTATCTCTTTAGATGAAGACAGATATGGCAGACTTGATCCATGTTATTTGTGGCTGCTGCATCTCTCTTGAAATGCAGAAACTGGTGAAAGCTCCAAGTACTCACTGTGCAAAGTGTCAGAGGCAAATAGCTTCGTACAGATTTCCTTCTGAGCGCTTGGTATGGCTAAGTAATTCCTTATTTAAATTTTATCTGTGCTTTGCACACCGACATATTCCATAATTTAAAAACCTTACTGTTTTCATTATACCCAGATGAATAAAGTGATTATAGAAAATGAAACAGTACAGGCAAATATTTTATCTGTGATCTGTATACTGTATTCTTAGTATGATGATAGATTTCCAAATTTAAATTCTGCTACAGCTTAGATGGAGGGAATATATTGTTTTCATCACATAGGTGACAAGTCGAGTTGCTGGCACAGAGGGAAAGCGATATTAATGGTATCTGGCACTGCTTCAAGGTTTCCCTGCTTGGCTGGTCTGTCGGATATCTGGAGTGCTAAAGCTTTGCTACTTCTGGCAGAGCTGAGATGTTGCTGTTCTAGGTGGCTGTGTGGAAAAAATTAGTCAACAGTGTTTCAATATTATAAGCTTTGAACTACATTGTTATAACTTACTATTGTGTTATGACATGAGAGAATTACATCAGATGAAGATTTTCTTTCATCCTTTATTGTAAAGATTTTAAAAAAAGAACAAAACCACTTTTAATCTTCATTTTAGTTGCTCTTTAGTAGTTACCTTGAAACATCCTTTGCTTAGTCTTAGACTAAAGTACAAGACACAAAGTGCAGTTACAAGATGAAATTAGTGTATTTGCCTAGCCAGTATTTTCTTCTAGCGTAGCTGTTCTGTTCCAATGTATGTTGAAAAATTTTCTTCTTCTATTTTAGTTTAACGTTATTATGTTAAAAATGATTATTGGTAAACGCTGAAGCATTGCTATAGGCCTGTTAGTTTCCTGTGACAATAATAAAATCTATACAGAGCACGAGATGCATCTTTTTCCTATTGTGCTCTTGTGGTAGTGTTCCAGCAGTGCTGCGGTTTGTGTTGATGAAGGCAGGAGTAGGATTATGGATTCTACTGCAAATATTTGATGGCATACAGAGAAAATTTTACATTGTTTCCCACAAAAGAGTTGGTAACAAATAGGGGCATTATCCATGTGGTGTTGCCAGCTAGAAGAGCTTAGAGGGATGGGTTTCAGCTGGCTGGAAATACAGAGCATGACATGTGCAGGAGGCAGCTGTGAGGAGCTTTGAAATTCGGTTCTGCTTGCTTTTGTCTGCTTCCTTTCAAATACTTTTAATGTAATTTGTGATAAAGAGTAAAATGCTTAGCTTTGCAGAACTTTCTGCCACAGTTGTTCTGCTTTCTAGTAGCCTGTTTCCAAATAGGAGCGATTGGCAGTTCTTTCTGGAAATTACAGCATCGGATATTTGTGCAGATACCTAATGGCGTGAAAGTCTTTTAGGTGTTGATTTATTTGGTTTGAAAGTTTAAATTATGGAATTAGATAATAAACACATTAAGCAAAAATAGGAAAATGTTGTAAAATTATGCTTTATGTTTGCCTTCCGCTCAGAAAATATATCCAAGTCTGATGTTTTGCTTAAAGCTTGGGTGTGTTGTTCTCTCTCTGATAGGAATTCCTACAAACCATAGTAAACCCACCAGTTTCTCCCTGAGGGTGGATAATGCAGTTCCATTGGTGACCCAAGCCCACGCAATCCAGCCACTACAGATTCGAGCAGGAATCCTTTCTCAGGTGGGCTTACTTTGAAGTAAAACTCTTATTTGTTTTATTATTAGTTGGTAAATATTTTTTTCCCTCTGTAGAGTCCTGTTGCAGTCCCTCTTCTGCTTTGTGCTAAGGTAAATTCAGTTGTTCTTCGCATCATGACATCTTCTCTGCTTCACAACAGACATGGTCGAATCAGACCCAGCAAATCCTGGTTCCTGCATGGCAGCAAGTGGCACCAGTGGCAGCTCCTGCGACGTCTCTGGCCTCTGATCCTGTGGCTGGCCCACAGAGGCTTGGAGACTGGGGGTAAGTCCAGATATTTCTGTGCAATACCTTAATGGCTTTGGTTTAACAAGATCTACGGATGCAATGCAAATGACTTGCAATTTAAAACTTCCTTTATTTTTCCTCAGGAAGGTGATTACCCAGGGCACCCATTACAATTCAATGATACCGCAGCCTCTCTTAACGCATCAGATAACCTTGTCTGCCCCGCAGCCAATTAGTGTGGGCATCGCACATGTTGTCTGGCCTCAGCCTGCAGCTGCCAAGAGGAACAAACTGTGTCAGAACAGGTTGGTAGAATATTTCTGACATTCAGAGCTAGTGTATCTGTAGTTTCTGTTCAGTGGGCAGGGGAATAGCCTGTAGAAGTGGCATGTTTGTTAGCAACAATTGTCCTTTAATGGTCTTTTGGGAAAATTTGTTCTTTCTGCCCTAAGTTTTCAGTGTTATTTTGGTAATACAGACTAGATGGAAAAATACTTGCAATAGTAAGAGGTTTTAGTTGCTGTTGATCAGTATGTGTCTATCATGGTAGCAAAGTTGTCTTTATAGCCTTTGGGAAGGTATAAGGATATATTGAGGTAGCTCTAATGAGATTTCCTAAGCTTGTGTGCATGAGGATATATCAGCTTTAGACAACTAAAAATAAACAGATAGTATATAACAGGGTTGCAGTATGCCTTACATTCATCTTCAGAATGGTCTCTTTCACTGGTGGCCAAAAATACTTTAGCTGCTTGCTGAAGAAAATGTGCTCCACTGCCATACAAAGTATTTGCAAAGATGTGGGATGCTCAATAAAGAGGAAGGCGTGGGTTACAGAAGGCCATTTCAGCAGTCTTGTTTTAAGCAGGGATTTCATCCAGAGGCCACCAGCTTTTGTTTTCAGGGAGAATCTTTGCAGGAAATCTGGCTAGGTTTTCTTTGCTTGTTTTTCACACAAATGGGATTTTAGTTGCTTTTTTTGTTTATAAGAAAATGGGATTTTCAATGGATTGTATCCCATGTTGTTGCAAATTTCAGTCTTGGATATTAGTTTGATTGCAGCAACGTAGCTTCTTAGTAGCATGTTTCTAGATTTTTTTATTAATGTCTGAAATAATATATGCCAAGTATTTATGACTATGTTTCGTGTTTTATGTTTTTCTTTGCATTAGTTTAGAAAATTGGTGGTTTAGCCTACATTGCTTGCTTTGTTTTTGTTGCAAATTGTGCAGTTTTCAGGTCTGTTGGTAGAGAATCACTAAATGTCAAATGTTGTGTTTCCTTCACAGGAGCAATGGGTTACACAACTGTTGCAAATTGTGCAGTTTTCAGATCTGTTGGCAGAGATTCACTAAGTGTCAAATGTTGTATTTCCTTCACAGGAGCAATGGGTTACACAATACCAATATCCAAAATTCAGCCTTTATATCTCCAAAGATACTTAACCTGAAGGCTGTAAAGAGAATAAGTTGTATAGAAGCACAGGACAATCATAACTCAGAAGGACAGGAAAGTAACTGTTGTGAAGCATCGGTCAGGCTGGACCCTGATTCATCTCTTTCAACCAAACAGCGCCAGGCTATCTTCATTGCCAGCTCCCCCAGCCCAGCAGTCAGCGTGATCACCATCAGCAGTGACACAGACGAAGATGACATAGGACGAACACATTCACTGAGAGAGTAAGAATTGGTGTTTACTTTTATTAAGCTGTTACTTCAATATAGCTGTCTTAGCGTAGCGACTGCATTTAATGAATCTGAGTTAGAAAATGACAAATGATGCAATTCTAATGAAATTTCACTGAGAAGTTAACTCTGTAGCAGTACATTATTTGAAAATAAAAAAATTATTTCAAAAGTCTACCTCACTAGTCTGTGTACATTTGAAACAGGAAACAAATAATTTGATATTCTTTAGTCACAGATTTGGTCCAAACAGAACACTTTTAGGTCTAGCATACTTTTTTTTTTTTTTGGCTTAATACTGTCTTACCCTATTTATTTGTTGAAGATCAGTCTTCTGGCTTTGTATAATCAGTGTGATCATTCTAGCAGTAGCATCCAGTAGATAACACTACATACATTCGGGTGAAATATACTTCTCTAACAGACAGTATGAAAAGGTCTGCATTTGGATATACAAGCGGATGCTGAGCATGAACCCCTAAAGGAGTTTTCTTTCACAAAGCTATCAAAGAAGGATGTATCATTTGAAATGAGAGCTTAAAAGTTTAATGTTTATTTGACTTTATTTTTACTTGTTATGATTCTGAACTGGAGGAACTTGTATTTTAAATCTAAACTTTGTCAAAGGTTTCAAGGCTCTGAACTGTTGTGGTAAAATCTTTTATCTACTTGTTTTAGTATTGATTCAGTAAAAATGTATTCATTTAGTAGGTTTCAAATAATGCATGCTTAGTCTAGAATTGCCAAAGGAACTCTGAGAAGGTTTAAAAATCTGTTTTGGATGTAAAAGAAATAAGGAATTGGATATTGATTTACACTTAAGGAACCTTTTCTAATATTTGACCCCTTTTTTATTCCATAATTACGCCTAAATCAGTGGCATACAGAAAGAACAAATGAGAGATGGTATGCTTGCTCACTTTCTTTTTGTGTGGTAGGTGTAAAGGTAGCCTTGACTGTGAAGCCTGCCAGAACACCCTGAACATTGACCGCGTGTGTTCTCTCAGCAGTCCTGATAGCACTCTGAGCACTAGCTCCTCGGGACAGTCTAGTCCATCTCCTTGCAAGAGATCCAACAGGTAAAAAGCTGTGCTCCTGTCAGTAAAAAGAAAGATCCTAGTATACAGCAGGCTCGGTTTATAATAAAAGATGCGAACGTTTTGTTATGTTGCCATCTGCTGAGGCTAAATGGTGTATTTAAAAATTAATTTATTGGCCTGCAGTTGCAGAGCATAAACTGTTCTTTTATCGTTCCTAACAGATCTGTCTTGCTACAGTGGCATTTCAGGATACTGAATGAGTGGTGTTTACATGGAAAATATAAGCATGTTGCATGAACCTTCCTTTAGAACAAAAATCTTAAGTTTGCAAAATTAAGTAAGCCAAAATAGCATGTGACAGATTTGAAGTTACCAGAACATCTTTAATTTTTGTACTCTCTTGTTCTCCCATTGTGTATCTTGTATTGTAATCTTCAGTGACATTGATGCCTTTTTTCTTCTGTCAGACACGAGCTTCACTTACGTGAACACTGTTCATATGAGCAGCTTTTAAATATTTTATCTTCATTGCTTGATGTGTACTTAAGCCTTCATTTTTTGCACTTTATTCAAAATTCACTCTTAGAAAAACATTCAATGTAACTCTGAAAATGAATGGCATTTTTGCTACAGTACCTGAGAGCCTGACACTAAAGCGTCTCTCTGTATGACGCTCGCATGACACAGACCTCTGACGCAGTCAGGAGTTCCCACTGACTTGGGATGTCCTGGTTGGGACTTTTCCTCCTATTGCAGCTCCTGCCCATCTGATGCTAGTATGTTGAAACTTTAGTTGTAGGTATGAACACTTGGCACTTCTACAGATCATATTCTAGATATGAGTTTGGGGACCAGGAAACGTTTGGTGTATGTGGTTTCTGGTATATAGTTGCTGATTTCACAGACCACACATGCCAAAATAGCCGCTGTGTAATAGAGGCTTGCATTTGTCTCCTTAATCTAAATCTGTGAAAAAGAATCTATCAGTCACACACAGGCAGTGCTCTCTGGAGGACCTGTCAGAGGCACCGAATTTTTCAGTAGATAAGGTCTAGTGTAGCTGCTAGTAGCTGATGGCAGATGAGAGGGGGCTGTCTGCCCCTGTGCAGATCGCTTCCTCAGCTCGCTCTGTCCCATCCCGACTCTTACGGGCCCCTGGGACAGCTTTTCACAGGCTCCATGCTGTGGCTGATTTCTAGAAGAAAAGGAGATCGGTGTGTTCTCTTTTGCTAATGTAATAACCAGGAGAGCTTTATGTTTTGATTCAGGTAGAAATGAAATAATCTTCTTCAACCTTTTATTTGGCCTAAAAATCTGAATTTCAGGTGGTTTATAAGTACAGTATTATTTAGAAAGTAAATTACAAAGTGAGTGCAAGTTGGGTTACACATCCAAGTCTTTATGTAGAAATTGTCTCCTTTCTCTGAGCCTTGCAATTGATGGGTAGAATGAGTTGGAATATTGAACTGCCATCTGAATGTCTGTGCATGTATAATTAAAATTTAATATTTTTATCTACCTTTGAGCAGTTTCACTTCCATAAATTTGATGTGGTACTTTAATAAAATGCATCTATATTAAGAAAACATATTTGTTTCAATGCAATAATTTTATTTTTTATAGTATGTCAGATGATGAACAGGAAAGCGGATGCGATACTGTGGATGGTTCCCCAACTTCAGACTCTTCAGGACGTGATAGCCCATTTGTGGAAAATGGCTTTGTAGCTAATACCAATAACAATAAGGAAACAAGAGCATCGGTTGATCCTGAAACCAAATCAGCTGTTTGCACGGTAGTGGTACCACCAATGAGACTTGAAAACAGGTTACATCTTGATGAACAGATGGTGAATACAGGTAAGGTAGTTCAGGTGTTTTTTTCTTTCTGTACCAGTAGATAAGAATAGAAACTTGATATTTATTCGATAGCTATACATACGAAGAATTTTACCTACTCATATATCTGCTAATCTGTAATAAACTCTTCTAAATTGTGTTGGTTTTTTAAGACTTTAATTAGTGTGTTATTTTGTTAATTCTCCCTGTATGCTGAAGCAAATGAAACTTCTAACTTTTTTTAAAAGAGAATGGTGACAACAAAAACATAACTTTGTTCATTTATATCTTGGAAGATGCTACGTGCCAGCCACTGAAAAAGGGTCGGTCTGTCCTGGGAAGAATAAACCAGTCTTCTGTTGTAGGAAACCGTCAGCAAAAACTGACGTCAGCATTCCATCCGCAACATATAAGCTTCAGTCAGGTATGTGTACTTACTCACATCTAAGAAGTATTTTTTTCTGTCTTGAGGTTCCGAACATGCTGAATGCTCACAATTTCAATTGCTGTAAATGGCAACTGCAGGTATTCCACAACTTGATTGCAGAAGCGTTCAAATCTTGAAAATGGATTTCAACTTACTGGGCAAGTCATAAGTATCTTTCACTTTTGGTCATTTTCTTTAAAGCAGATGACTTTATTTTTTTAAAATGATAGAAAAGCCATACTGGGAAAATTTTCAATGCCTACACAAAATCAAAGCACGGGACAAAATGAAAAATATGTTAGTGTATTTTTTTTCCCCTACATCCATGTGCTAAAATGCTCTAGTGCACAGTTAGGAACTGGGGCTATATGGCTGTATTTCAGTCTCATTCTGTTAGTAGTGTGCGTGAAAATACTTGTAGTTTGAGTATCCAGAGCTTAGCAAACCCAACTCTTTCTTACCCTTGCTGCCAGGTAGTGAAGCTGTTGGGGAAAGAGGTTGTGATTGTAGTTCAATCCTATGTTGGAAGATATCCAACGTTAATTTAAAAGCTACTTTGGTCTGTACCCAACAGTGTAGTAAATGTGTCTACTGTGGCTGAGAACTCAAGTTGATGCGTGGCATCAAGTTTAAGCCCCTTTTTAATGAATTAATTTTGAGCTGAGATGAATTGAGCTTTTGATTAGATGTCTGGAGGTACATTTAATATAACAGCAGTACCTGTTTGTGTAAGTCTTGCAGAGTAACTGTGAATATTAAATTATAAGTTAAATACTCAATGCAAGCATGCTATATGTAGATAAGAGGATTTACCAATAATGACTTGAATAGTTTAGATTGAAAGAAACATTTGGGTGGGTGACACCATCTCCCCTTCTGCATGATTATGCAGAAGGATAGGTTTAATTAATTCTAAGCAAACCTTAATATGATCAGCGTAGTATTAATTTTTAATCTCTTCAATGACTGCAGCTCCTCGGCCTCTTGGCAGAAAGTGTAGAACGTTATTTTCATTACAAAAATTTATGCTGATCCTTCATTCTTTGGTAGATGCCCTGTGCAGTTTGAGGTCTGCATCATTTAACGGAAGTAATTGATTTTTTAGTCTTTATAACTGTTAATGATTGCCACATCTTCATGTGATCATAGCCCTAGACTTCTGTTTGCCTAGTTGTCTCAGATATTTTCAATCCGTTTATTATTTTTTCTGCTCTCCTCTAAAATTTCTCTCCTATTTGTCCTCTTTGTGCCTCATTATGGTGCCCAAACTGAATGCAGCACTTCCAATTGATGCCAAGCCAGTGCTGAGTAGAGTGGAATAAGCACCTTGCTCATGTGATACATGGTATTTCTGTTAAAACAGCCCAGCATGGCATTTTATCTTCCCCCCCTTTTTTTTTTGCAAGAGCATTAAAATAACTTGTGTTCTGTTTGCCATCTCTTATTGTCAGATTTCCTGTCTGTGCTACTATCTAAATAGCTAATTTTTTTTTGTTTAAGCATTTAATTATTCCTGTCTCTATATTTCTCTTGATTTTAAGTTGACTAGTTTTAGTGCATTATTCCATTTTTCAAGCTCTCTTTACACTTGGAAATATTAAGACCTGCCCATTTCTGTGTGTGGACAGGTTCAGCACTTTGGATCTGCACCGCAGGAATGGAACGGAAACTACGCTCATCGGAGGCAGCAGCCTTACATCCCAGCCAGCATTGCCAGTCATGCTTTCTCCCTTCCGCAGGGAAGTCCAAATCACACCACCGTGCATGCGCATCTCTCTGGAAGTACCCACCTTGGAGGACAGCCTGCTATCCTTCCGTACCCGTCATCCGCACCCCTCAGTACTGCTGCGCCTGTTGCCCACCTCCTTGCCTCGCCATGTACCTCAAGACCCTTGTTACAACATCCAACGTACAGTATATCTCATCCCAGTGCTATAGTACACCAAGTTCCAGTTGGCATAAATCCCCGTCTCTTACCTTCCCCAACCATTCATCAGACTCAGTACAAACCAATTTTCCCACCACATTCGTACATTGCAGCATCACCTGCTTACACAGGATTTCCACTGAGTCCAACAAAACTCAGCCAGTATCCATTCATGTGAGAACTCAAATGCAGTATGTTGAGGAAGCTCAATGATACAGAAGTTTGATTTCAGAAGAAACATGGTATTTATTAAATATTAGCCATGGCACAACAGGAAAATTATTTTTTTGAATCATGTAGACTTGGGTGCAATTTAAACGACTCCGAGCTTTAAAAAAACTCACTTTTAATGTGTTTTGCACATTTGGTATAACTTGTCTTTGGTCATGTTATCTTCTTATATAGTAACTTTAGACAGGTGACTTACGGGAGCAGAAATCTGGTTTTGCTCCTGCTATTTTTTATAAAATTGCCTTCTAACTAGTGCAAGACACGTCTACATTTGGGAAGCCATTCAGTGTACAGAACTAGAGCAACAGATGCACATGTGTCAGCAGTACAGTGTAGAAGTAACTTGTTTGTATTGCGTATTTTGGTGTTTAAATGTTGAGTCACTTATCTAAAGGTTGAGCTGTTGTTCTTCACATTGCATGTGTCTTTTGCATGGGCAAAAAAAAAAAAAAAAGCCTAAACATTGCTCTTAAATGTTGTTGTCCTAATAATCTCAGCTGCATTGTAAACTGTTTCCACACATAGTGCCTTAAATATTTGAGGTTGTTAATGTTATTACTTATATATAAATGTTGAGGACTGCAGCACTTAAAAATTCAGATCTGCTGATTTTTTGATAGCGTAATGCTAATTTTGGGTTTTGTGTGGTATGATTTTAGTATTGGGTGTGTTTTCCTTATCCAGAAGGCAGCATGTTTTGCTGTAGCTGAATTTTGCTGTCTTTTTTTTTCCCCCAGAATGATCTAGCTTCAAGACAAGATTTTAGTAGTGCTTAAGAAAAGTTGATTCAGTAGCTATGGAGTAGTGACACACAACACAGTATTTCATACTGGTAAATGGAACTGCAATACAACCTAAGTAGTTTATTTTAAAAGTGTTTGTCTAATTGGATATAATAAAATGTTTAGAGGTGCGGTAGGCATGACTGACTAGCTAATGAAAGAAAAAGCCAAGTGCTCATTGATCCATGATGTGGTTTCATCTTAGCTTGAGCAAACCATGCAGTATTTAATAACTAGTAGGAGAATATTTACTATTGAAGCTTGAAAAGATGTGAGTTCTTTGTGTGCAATCTTTCATTTATGCATGGGAGAGATTTTAGTCTTTTTACATGATAGTATTTGTTTTAGCCTGTTGCGGGTGTTTGCTTATTTAATACATTCCGTCAGGGACGTAAATTACATGCTTTTTGCATTCTTTTTTTTTTTTTCTCCTTAGGAAGTGTGTCTTTTCTGTTTTTTGTTTTGTTCAAATGAAGTTGCTTTTGCAGCACCAAAGACTTAATCATCCATTTCCTATAAAAGGTAGCTACTTTTTCATAGACCTCAAGTATACTGTAGTGTAGAATGGGTTTTACAGAAGGTATTAAGCTGAGGCTGTGTTTTAGCTTATGGGCAAGTAATAAATTGTATCATTTATCTTGAATGTATCATAGATAAGCTGCTATATAATGATTGCCACTTCAGATAGCTGTGAAATTAGGTGATTAACTAGTTCTTTCTTAGCCTTCTAATTTCTGTACAAGTCTAATTACATGAAATAGAAGCCGGGTTTTGGGTTTGGTTTTTTTTTTTTTTAATTTTGTTTTCATGTTTGAAGTGTCGTAACTACTATACTGTAAATGATGGAAAATGATTGCATATGTTTTTTTGGGGTGTGTTATTTGCATCAGTATTTTATCTCCATTAACTTTGAGCTCATCACTGCATATAAGTGGATGTATTGATGTAACTTAATTTTTTTTTATGTTTCCATATTGGCATTGTGTAGACACTTAAGCTGCATCTTGCAGGCTTGACTTAACTTTTTTTTAAAACAAAATCTGGAATACAATCCTTGCGATGTTGACTGGAATAAGAGTGCAAAGCATTTGAGTTTAACTCTGTCAATAAGCTAATAACTGGTAATCTTTTTCTTTACTCCACTAACACAAGCAGTGTTTTATTTAATGAATGTCTGAATGAAATAAATGTGCCTACATTTGATTTATTTTAAAGTACTATCTAAAATACAACAGTATTAGATCTTAAAAAAAAAATAAAAATACCAGCAGTACATTTTTAATCACACTGAAAATTAAGAGACGTAACTTTTCCCAAAAGTTTCAGTGTTTTTAGTAATCGACTCTATGCATTTTGTACAAGTGTGTGTATATAAAGTATACATTAGAAACTAGGAGTATCCTGATGAATTTGAAATCTTATCAACACATATATAAAGCCTAAATATAGGAAGTCAAGAAAACGCTTGAATTGGATGTCCACCTTACCACTTCAAACTCACGCTATATGGTCCAGCAGACGGTTTTCTGTTCACTCCCTTGTGTTGGGAAGCGACGTTTTTTTGGTGCTTACTCCATTGCAGGCAATGGACACACCAAGAATCACCAATGCAAATGGAGGAAATGAATTTTGTATCGTGATAACAAAAAAATACTGCATTTTTTTTTTTCTGGGGCCATGGGGATCTTCATTGGTCTAATGTATTTACTGTACTTTCGTTTTACTGTGCTGAAGGTTTTAAGCTACCATGCTTGTTAAATTGGCATGATTATCTGTGTATCACAACAGTATCCTACCGTATGCAGGAAAAAGTTGCTGTAAATGCGCCCCAAATTAGATCTGCTGCTCTTTCCGTGTGTTGTAATTCTAGAAATGTCTGCCTTTTAAAGAACGAAATATTTGGGATCCTGCCACAGCTTAAATTCAATCTACCGGGTGACTTTTCCCCCATCCCACAGTACACGCTGAGAGAACGGACTCTTGTCACTGCAAGTGTCCAGGGCCCATCTGCAGAAAAAAAAAAAAAAAAGCTTTCAGGGCAAGGGCCTTTTCTGTGAAAAAAGTCATCCTCTGAGAAGCACTTAAACACGTTACCGGTTTAATGCCTTTTTTAAATAAAACACTGCATGACTACAGAATTGCATAACTGCATACTACTTTAATTTGCAAGATTTTATATGAATTTCTTGTGTTCAGTTTTTAACTTCAGGGTGTTTTATTGGTCAAATATGCTACTGTATTAACTTTTTTTTTTTTTTGGTTTTAATTTTTAAATTCTCTGGTTTTACTGCTAATTAACTTGGTTTGTGTTAAGTAAAAGTTAAATCACACTGCAAGCTGTAGGAAGACTTGTTCTAGAAATACCCAGTGATAGAGACTTGATTACTAAGTTTGAACTGTTACTGTTTAACAATTTGTAGACTTGTGGCTTTTTTTTTTTGCTTTGGATTTCTATGCTACACTAGTTCGCCATGTAGCAATTGCACTGTGCAATATTACAATATGAGGACTGGGAAAATTTTTTATGGATGTAATGTCTCTTACAGTTTGCGATAGTATTTCTTTCTAGTTCTCAGTGATTTAAATGTGACCAAGCCTTCTGTACTTTGTCACAAAAAGCGGGTTTTCCAGGTGACTATTTTGGTGAGTGTCAAAATAAGAATTTATGGTGTATTACTGTCGAGATTCACTTTGAATTAAAATATATATTGCAGCAGATGACTTTTGGTGACTTTCATTTTTTGCTGTGTTTCATTAAGGCTGGATTAAGGTAAAGGCAATGAAAATTCATGGGAAGGGCTCTCAAATTCTGATATAATCATTTGACTAAGCTGCTCTTCCTGATGAAATTTTAGCTTTTATTCAGCTTTCAAGGTTTGCTTTTAGGATGCTCTTAAGAATCTGCCTTTAATGTAGCCAGACCTTTAAGGTTCTTTGTTCTGGTTGTCCCACTTTTACAACCTCAGGAAAAGGTTCTCTGGCCCAGATAGCGGCAGATCCATGGCTGCTGCTGAAGCTGGTACCGAGCCCTCGGCAGCCGCCTG